GCTGCAGGCGCCATCCACAGGCTCCACAAGCACTGGCTGGTCTGAAGCTTGTGCCAACCTCCAGATGTCCAGGAGGGTGTCTGTAAGTCTGCCCTGAGTTACTGAGGGTTGTGGAGGTTCGAGCCTGAATCCAAATGCTGCTTCCTTTTGCGGTCTGCCCTGGTTCTTCCTGATCAGACCCTGGAGCACTCTACACTTCCATTCAGGATTATTTTTCACACTTTTGTCTATGGGACCAGTTGATGCAAGAATTTTTCGCCAGTGAAGGCAACACCTTGTGCAAACAGCAGCTCTGAGCCTCACTTTTTCTTTGAAAATGGTGTGGGATGGCCCCACTGTGAGTCAGCAGAAAAATGTGGGGAAGCCAAACAATTTCTGTCACGGCAGCCTTTTGCATCCACAGCTTTTGTGTGCCTTAATTGGGAGGTTTCTAAACCCTGTTGTAGTCTGTATTTGCACAATCTAGTTTTGTCCATTTTTCTCTTAAAGCAAGCTGGATGCGATCACGTGCTGAATTCAAAAGCAAGAAGAGATAAATGTGGTGTGTGTGGTGGGGATAATTCTTCATGCAAAACTGTTGCAGGCACATTTAACACAGTGCATTATGGTAAGAATCTGTTGCTAAAAACTTTATAGTGAAAAATGTGTGTCTATAAAAGCCATTACCACACTTAATCTACAAAAACACTGATGTAAAATCCTGCTAGCTATAGCACACTTCATTTTACAACTATTTATGCTATCGCTAAATGAAAAGTATTGGCTTGTGTAATGTGAGGTAATTTTGCTCATTTCCCTTCCCCCGTAGAAAGCAAATGAAATGTCTGTGTAACAGCCTTGACTTTCTGTTAAATCTTTCCTAGGCTATAACGTTGTGGTCCGCATCCCAGCTGGTGCAACTAATATTGATGTGCGTCAGCACAGTTACTCAGGGAAACCAGAGGATGACAACTACCTGGGTGAGTTGCAGTCCTTGTTTCAGTCCAGAAATCTGCTTTATTGTCTGGTTGTGGTGATAGATCTGTTGGCTGCTCTCTGCTAAGGAGGATGAAGAATTCATTTAAGGGAGATGTTTTCAAACATCTTACCTTGTTCCTTCTTTTTGTTCATGCCATCCTCACTGCAAAGCTTGGGAGGTTCACAAGTTATAGGTCACGGAAAGTCACAGAGATCACAGAAATATACCCCCTTAGACTGTCTTCTGGGCTGGGAAGGACTATTGAGCCTAGGCTGTGGGTGGGCGCTGAGGCACAAAGCTGGGAACCAAACAGGCTTCTGAGTTCTGCTGGAGGTTCCTCATTGCAGCTTAACTCATCTCTGCTGTCACCGTGCCTTGGCTGGAGAGCAAATATGCCATACCCGGAAAGACGTGTGTACAAGCAAACCCAAAGAGAAATTACTTTCCGTTTTGCTGAGAGGAATAACTCTGATTTTACTTAGGCTGAGCCTTTCTAATTGTAAAGAAATACCTTGCTTTTAGCATGACCATGGCACATGACCATGTGTCTCTTTTCCACCATGGCAATCAGTAATTAACCCCATAAAGAGTTCTGTTTGGGCTCAGTAGCAGAGATAGCAGAAATACACTCTGTGACTGTAGTTACACCTGCCAGTCAAAGGCTGATTTTGCCTTTAAGTCCTGCCTGGGTCCCTCAGAGTCTGATGGATTGCTGATGGAGCAGGGACTCGGGCTGTGGCCCCTTGAAGCCCCAAGGAGATGACTGCTCTCCTGGCTCTGTTCCTTCTCTTTTGTCCTGGCTCTGTTCCTCCTATTGTCTCTGTGCCTGTTATCATGAGCCTCAGCTCCCGTATTTACATCTCTGAGCAGGCACTTCATCTCATTTCATCTCACAAAATCCCTGCGTTGAGCATTTTTGTGAAACATGGGGCTTAGCCAAGCACTCACTGTAACTGGGTATGTTAAAAACGGAACTGGGCTGGTGGTTCCTAGTCCACTAGACAAGGGGATAAAGGGAAGAAGGGTAAGATAGGGTGAGGTGCGAGTAGAGGAGACTGTCGTGCTCCAAAGGGGAACGATGCTGACGGCTTTGGCCGTTGCTCTGAAATGCCTTCCATGTGGCTGGACCCTTCATTCAGGCCAAAAGCTGAGCGGGTCCTGCCTGTCCTCATTCCCAGGCTGGGGTCATGCCAGGCTGGCTGTCCCTGCACGCACGGGGCCGCTCGCTTGCAGCCGCGCTGCGGCGTTGCTGCGGCTCACAGCAGTGAAAGGAGGTGGTGCAGCATGAGTGCACATCTGTACCAAAAATACCCTACTGAGGTGTGAGTTTTCCGTCCTGGGGGAGGGAGGTACATTTCATTATTCCTCTTCCCTAGAAAAACAGTCCTCCCTGCGTTGTGCCTAGTCAAACTGGTTCACCCCAGAAGGAGCCCCAAAGAACTTCTCGGCTCTTCTTGGAGGGCCTTTAATCTTCTTGGGAAGCAATGAAGTCAAATCTTCTTTAATGTTGCTTTAATATTGCTGGGAAAGCATCTCTTCATATTAGGCCTGACTAGAAGCAAATGAGAAGTGTGCATGTGTCCACTTATTTTGCAGCTCACTGAGTGTGAAATCTTGGGCCCTCAGTACTGTGAACCTTGTAGTTGCTTAACAATTTAGGAGGAATTTGATGTTGTCATCAAGTCCAAGACGTGTACCTACTGTTGTAGGAGATACAGTAAATGGGAAGGAATCCTTTAATGAGTCTTACAACCGCCTAATGACATTAAAGCCTCCAAAGTGTGGAATTTGAGTGGAGTATAGCTTCTGCTTTATGAGTTTTTCTCTGTCTGTGTCTGTCTGCTACCAAGCAGTGTTTGGATTCGTTATCTCTCCTCGTTTGGTGGAAAAACCTTCCCTTTGGTGTTTTGGTGTTAAGTTTAGATTTTTCAGTACAGAGGCTTTGTAGTAATGTAGCTGTGATGGGTGAAATGGTGGGGAAACTAACTTAGGAAATTAGCTACATAATCGCATTAGTGTGAAGTTATGCAGCAGACTGCTGTTTTCAGGAAACTGTTCCTTTTATAAAGCATTTAGGCTTTAAGCCTTCAGTGCTTTCACATACCTTAAGATTTGGAATAATAAAAAGTATGGAGGGAGAGGGGGAGATACTGACCAAACTCCCTGTAATTATCTACTAGAAAATCATGTTTAGGCAGTTAGGGTACATACATTTCCCCTAAGAACACACCTGAAAACAACAGGGAAGCCACCCTATCTGCACAGCTAACAAGAAGATTTGGGCAGAATTATTTCTGTGGCATAGGAGGGGACACAGGCTGTGTGTGCTGCCTGCAGCCGCCAGCCCAGCGTGCCTTTTTGGGTGTCTCTCTGCCCTGGGTTATGGGTGAACTATTTAGCCAGAGCTTCAGGCATTCAGCCTTCATTTTAATGAGGCTCTGCAGTGGCAAAAGGAGAAGGCACGATGTTTGTAAGAGCTCTGCTGCTCTCTTTACATCCTTTCTGTCTGAGAGTGCCAGTGGGCTCTTCCTCCCACCCCCATGAAAAGGAGCACTGAGAGCGCATGACCCACATTATTATGTACGTATGAGTTAATTCTGCGTCTTTAGTTCTTGTTTTTTGCACCTATGCAGCCTTATCTAACAGTCAAGGAGACTTTATATTAAATGGAGACTTTGTCGTCAGTATGTTTAAAAGGGAAATCAAAGTTGGGAATGCTGTGATCGAATACAGCGGATCGGATAATACTATTGAAAGGATTAATTCTACTGATCGGATTGAGCAAGAAATAACACTTCAGGTGAAGTATATGTTGTGTGTGTGCAAAAGTCTGCCCAGCATTATTGGACTTGAAAACAGCAGGCAGTGAAGTCGGTTGGTTTACTCTGCTTCTCCATTTTTCCTCCCAGGTTTTATCAGTGGGCAATTTGTACAATCCTGATGTTCGTTACACGTTTAATATCCCTATTGAGGACAAACCTCAGCAGTTTTACTGGAACTCGTATGGCCCGTGGCAGCCCTGCAGTAAGCTCTGCCAAGGTGGGTGCTTGGGGAGGCTTCCTTTTATCCTAGATTTGGGCCCTGCTGTCAGAACCCTCTCCATCTGATTTCTTTGAGATTCTTACATTCCTGGGCATGATTGTTTCCCTGAGCTGTAGTGGCAGATAACATCATACAAGGTGTAGCAATGCTTTGCTGCTTTTCAGGTTCAGAGCAGGGCACCTTTACAGCCCCTCGGAGCCAAGTAAGCCCTACAACATGGTCTGCAGGTGAGGAAGCCCAAGTGCAGAATTGATTCCATGGTGTTTCCTAAGGCTGGAAAGGCATCAGTGTCTGCTTTTGGCTCTGGCATCCAGTCATTGCTACCTGCAGCTGCTGACCCTCTATAATGCCCAAGGCCTGTCCTTGCAGGTGTGCTGAGCTCACCTCTGTCCATCTCAGCGTTAAAACCCTCCTGCTCTTGTTAGTCTTAGCCTGCTCCTTGTTCCTGAAAGAGACTGAAAAGCATAATTAGTGGTCTTTTAATTGCTACTATAGAAGGTGTAATGGGAATAAGGGCTTTGGTCCCTCCCTGTGTGCCTGACTGGCGCTTTCCCCGCGCAGGGGAGCGGAGGAGGAAGCCCGTGTGTACGCGGGAGTCGGACCAGCTCACCGTGTCGGACCAGCGCTGCGACCGGATTCCCCAGCCCGACCCCATCACTGAGCCTTGCAGCACAGAGTGTGAATTAAGGTGCACTCCTCAGCCGTGTGTATACATTGCATTGTGTATCTTTCCTTTCACCATAATTCCTTTTCTCACTAGCCTGTATTAGATTTGAAAAAAAAGGATTACTGGTTGCCTGGTTTTAACCAAGAGGGACTGACATCCGCCAATTGTGTTTTGAGAGGCACTGTTCTACTTTTTCACATTTCTTTTGTTGGATTAAATCAGTGCTAACTATATATATAAAAAAAAATAATTACCTAATGTTGAAAAAATCTCCCTGTGCAGTACAGTGCCTGAAATACACATCTGCCTGGACCAGAAATGCTCAGCACCATTCTACAAACAGCCTGCAAAGAGGGAAAAACACACAGTCAAAGCAAAAGTGTGACTAAGACTTGGATTTATCATCTTTTTAAGGTTTAAGTAGAGAGTGTATTTGGGGCTGTCCCCAGACAACTCCTGGCGAGCTGGAATTCACAGAGCATGGCCTAAATCATCACAACCCATTTTCATTTCAAAAGCAATCTGTTTTCCTTTCTGGAGCTTAAATATGGTGGTGTTAAAGGGCTGCTGGTGAAGCAGTTCAGGTGGCCCCGAGAAACCCCGGGCTCTACAGGGGCCGTATTTCGGGTTGTCGCGGTAACAGCTGTTGCCATTGCAACAGGTTGGAAACTTGAGAAGGGCAAATGCAGGAGTTTGAAAAGCTGGCAGGGATGTGAGGGCTCCTGCCATTCAGGAGCTATTGACTCCAAATCCCCTTGATCTTATTCTTCTTCTAGCTGTGCTGAAGTTTGCTCTCTCAGCTTAGGAGTGGGGCTCTGGGCTCCCTGAACAGCCCAGAGATCTCCAGGACCCCAGGGAATGTCTTTGCCTCCTTCCCCAGGAGCCACCCTTGCAAGGTGTGGAGGCTAACCAGCTCCTCTTGACTCCAGTCTCCAGCATCTTCCTGGATCAGGCCTCATGTCCAGGATCTCTTGCCAGAGCTGGTACCAGGGCTGATGTGAAGCAGGGTTGTACCCTCAGGTGCGTCCCTGAGGACCACCAGCACCAGCCCCTGCTGCCCATCCCAGGACTCGGGCAGCAGGGTGGGAGTCTGTCTGCAAAGAGGGAACACCTTCAAGCCCCACTGACACATCTGGGGCTCATGTGTCTTGAAGCAAGTCATTCACTTGCACTTTGGAGAGCTGAGACTGTTTTGCAGCCATCCTGACGTGTGGAGTGCCTTTGAGCCTCTGCAGATCACTTTACAGTGCTGTATTTTTTAGCTCTCAGTTTTTAGGAGGCCAAGGTGCCAACCCTCCAGGGGAACATAGCCTTCAAAGCACTGCTCACTGCTTGGCCATGGACTCCCCCACCACTTTGCACGGTCCTGCAGGGTCGCAGTGTGTCTTTGCTGCCTGTAAGAGGGAGCTGGTGACAGTTCCATCCCTGCAAAGAGCAACACCAGGGTTATTGCCTGAGATTTTTGGAAGCCATAAAGCATTGGGAAGTAATACAAAGAGCCAAAACATCCAGTTCAAGAGTGTATATTCCTTGTGTATGTCAAACACCCTTGAGCACATCACCCTGGGAGTCCCAGAGCCCCACAGCTGACGTTTGCTCCCCTCGGTCAGGTGGCACATCGCGAGGAAGAGCGAGTGCACGGCCCAGTGCGGGCTGGGGTACCGCACCCTGGAGATCTACTGCTCCAAGTACAGCAGGCTGGAGGGGAAGATAGAGAAGGTGGACGAGCGGTTCTGCAGCAGCCAGCCCAAGCCCAGCACGAGGGAGAAGTGCACTGGAGACTGCAACGTGGGAGGGTGGCGGTACTCGGCCTGGACAGAGGTAGGGGCTGCTCGGCAGGACCCAGGCACCAGCTGCTCCTTGCACAGGGGTGTGTCTGGCTGCTGGGTTTGGAAACACCGTGTGTATGTCAAGGATGGGGTGATGCAATCACTCGTGAGGGATAAGGAACAGTATGTTTATTGATATAAAACAAAGTACTCTTAATTATTTACTGCGTAAAGGACAAACAAAACTGTCAGGGAGACACCCACCCCCATTGAGTCATGAGGTGCAGAAGGACCCCCTTGCTTTCCAAACTCTTGATGGAGCTTAGGGGCAGCTAGGTCAAATCTTACTCTCAGATTGGGTCAACAGTTTATGTCTGAAGGATTATATATATGCAGTCAACCCTTTATATCACTTAGCTAATATTTCAAAGTTTAGCTATTAATCACTTAGAGAGTCCTTGCCACAACAGGGTCTCAATAAACCTCAAGGATTAACCTTGAGTTGTGTCCCTACACAAGGGGAGATCTTGGAATACAGCCTGCTGCCATGCAAGAGAGCTCAACAGGCTCTGGGGCTGTCCACTATTTCTGGACTAAGAGAATTGCCTTATGGTCATATTTACATACTGACTACAGGTGCTGGTTTCTTCCAAATTTGGCTCGAGGTGGACATTGGCCAGCACTGTGGTTAGGTGGGGCATTGCTCAAATTAGCCTTTGGCTGTTGTGGTGTTATCTGTCTCCCCTGAGGCCACAGGACCAGACACACATCCATTACCACTGCCACTGGTGGTTATCACTTGAGGAGTGATAAAGGTCGGGTTGGGGGTGAGGGGGCACACCACCACAGTATATCAAAGTTAGCCACAGTGATTCTGCCTCTGTTGCTTTTTCTGGAGGACACTGTAGTGCAAATCACCCTGGTACTCCTTATTTTCCACTGCAAATAACTTATACTTTTAAGCATCTCAAGGTCTGTCGTCATTACCCTAAGCTCCATGGGCCATTGAAACCAGCTCTGCTGCCAGAAGCTGGGGAGGACATAATGCAATCAGCAGAGGGCTTCTGAAATTTATTTCCTTCACACTTTCTAGTTTTTCTATGAACAAGAAAATTCCTGAATGCAGGCCCAGCATCAAGAGGATGACAAACCTGGGGCTTTCCAGGGGGAGGGCACAGTGAAGGAGGGCTGGCTGGTTGAAAGGAATTAATCTCTCCTAAAATGAGAATGAGGAACAGCCATTTTGGGAGAATTGAAAGGCAACACTCGTAAAATTAATAATGGAGTTACACCCAAAATAAATTTGTGGAACTCGTTGCCATGAGATTTTATTAAGCTTAGTAAGACTGGCTTTTTAAAGGAATATATAAAGTAATAGCCTGTTACTTTATAGCCTGTTCTTCTGGAGGTTTCCTACAGTCTTTTCACAGCCGTGACTGCAAAGAGGGAGGAGGCAGTAAGTGGGCTCTCAGCCTGGAACAGAATGACAGGAAGTATTTATTCACTGTCTCTCCCCCCCAGTGCTCCAAGAGCTGTGGTGGGGGCACGCGGCGGCGGCGAGCCATGTGTGTCAACACCTACAACGATGTCCTGGATGACAGCAAGTGCAGCCAGCAGGAGAAGCTGACAGTGCAGCGCTGCAGCGACTTCTCCTGCCCCCAGTGGAAAACGGGCGAGTGGTCCGAGGTGGGTGCTGGTCACCAGTCTCCACTCATCTCTCATGTTCTGTTTGTGCCCCAGGGCGTGGGGGCACTGCGCCTCCTGCCTGAGAAGGTCTCAGATGGCAAAGTTGCTGGTCAAGTGACCAGTCCCCTCCCTGCAAAGCCACAGGAGGCTAATTCCTCTCCAGTCTTGCAGTAATTTCTCCCCAGTTTTTCTACAGTTCCGCTGTGCTTTTGGAAAGAAAAATACATTCTGCCCTCTTTCTCCCTTGAGATTGTCCTCGTGAGCCCTGGCAGCTCTGGCTGTCGCTGGAGGGCAGGATTTCACCCTACTAATACCTTGCTCAGCCCTCTCCCTGCTGTTTATTACCATTGCCTCTTCCACTGCTGCTGGTGTCCTTTGCAATGCAATAAAACCATCTCTTGATAGGCTTTTCCCTGCAGCAGGGCTGGGGACGCTGGAGAACAGTCTTCAAAGGCTGCTCATCACATTTGTAGCCAAATAACTCTCATTTCTCTGAATCATGTTCTTTGAGGAAATGATGAAGGCAATTAATTTGGAACAGGGATTGTTCCCTGCAAAATACCTGTATTCTGGGTGGTGGACCTCATGCTGGGGTGGTGGACGAGACACTTGCAGTCTGTGGGATCTGGGATCTTTATCCAGAGCCAAGCAAGTTTTTGGAAGCCTTTGGCACCCTGTTGTGCATAGCTGAAGCCTGGTTGGACAGTGCTGGGGCTTGCCCTACCTCTCACAGCTGCTGGAAGTCAAGAGCCTTCATGATCTCACTTTGCTTGTGCTGAAGGGTCCTAGCTCTCCAGCCTCTACTCTGGGCCAGCTCCTGAGAGGATCCCACCTCATTGCAAGACACTCCTGTGTTTTTCAGTACGCGTGGACGTTGGCTCAAGAGCAGCCTCCTGACACTGTTTTTTACACAGTGATTGCCTGGGGCCCACAGGTTTATTTCACAGTGCTGGGGCAGATGCTGTACTGGCAGCACATCCCCATCACCCCCTGAGCTTGCTCTTTCCTCCTCACAGTGCTTGGTCACCTGTGGAAAAGGCCACAAGCACCGCCAGACCTGGTGCCAGTTTGGAGAAGATCGGTTAAATGACAGGTTTTGCGATCCCGAGAAGAAGCCGGAGTCGGTGCAGACGTGCCAGCAGCAGGAGTGTGCTTCGTGGCAAGTGGGGCCCTGGGGCCAGGTACTGCAGAGCCAGTGGCACCTGGGTGCTGGCAGCCAAAGCTGGGCACTGCCCCCTTGTCCACATTCAGTGGCGTGACTGTGCTCCTTGATTTGCCCACCAATGCAGCCCTCTGTTCACCTGGGTTCAGGGATGGGCAGCAGTAAGAGTGCCCACCCTTTGTGCTACCTTTATTCTGTGTCATACTAAATTGGCCTTGATTTAAGAAAAAAAAAGAGTTAGTTTCCAAGGTTACACTCCTAAATCCATATTTAGGTATGTAAATACATAGCCTAATTTTCACAGAAAAGCTATTCCCATTGAATAGCTTGTTGCTTTTAATATTTTCCAGTTTCTGGGCTCGTGAGTTTTTTTCTGTTAAAACACAAGTTCACTTCTCCCAGAGTGTTCTGGCACCTCCTTTTTAACAAAGCTGTTAGTTCTTGACTTTAAAAACAGTAACAAACCCAGGCCAGTTGTTCTAGTCAGACTTATTTCCCATCAGCAAAATTATTCATTAGCCACGTGTGCTGACATGGGGCTGAACAACCAGTTTTAAAGAAGAATATGATGCAGGTTCTACCAGACTGTGATTTACTGTGTGCAGCAGTCAGTCATTTAAATGCTTGCACCTTCATTCCCAAGGAAGCAAGTGAAGCATGCAAGGCTCTGGTGGGCACAGTGAGTTAAAACTTTGACCTAATTTAATGCTGAAATGCATGAAGTGGAGAGAAACCAGTAGGAAAGCTTGGTTTTATTTTTTCTGCTCATGTTATGTGCCTAAACACAGGCTGGGCTGATGAATACTTTCTAACTGAAGCAGCTACTCACACCCAGCATTTCTTTCTCCTATTTGTCCTCTTCTAGTGCACGATGACCTGTGGCCAAGGCTACCAAATGAGAGCAGTGAAGTGTGTTGTGGGCACCTACGTGTCGGTGGTGGATGATAATGAGTGCAATGCTGCAACCAGGCCAACAGATACCCAGGTACATCCTGCTGTCCTCTCTCTGATTTTGCCAGCGTGCATATGGATGCATCCAGGCTGCAGCTTCAAAGGCTGTCTCACTGCAGCAGAGGCTTGCCCTGAACACCAGCCCTTGCAGAGCATCTTGGTCTGCTATATGGTTGTTGGAAAGGTGCAGCACAGCACCCTGTTTTGGTAGAAGTGGGACAGAGAAGGGTGTTCAGGGAATTCCATCCCCATCTAGACCCCCTCCATGTGGTTCATCTCATACTCTGAGGCACCAGATTGCCAAAAAGGCAACAGGCAACTTGTTAGGAGAGCATCAAGTCTTTGTGGAGTAAAGATTACCTTTGCTTATGGTTTATATCCATGGAGCTCTAGTCATGGGATAGGGTGTGTGAAGGGCTGTCTGAATTCAGAGCTAAGGATGATCTCTAAGAGCTTATGGGCTAAAGAAGTGGCAGTAGATGAATATAGAAAGACTCCCATTTTATCCTTCTGGTTTCTGGTTCAGTATTTACTAGCCTCAGAGGCTAGGGTCTTGACACAGCAGACGCCTCCTTTGGCTTGCATGGGGTCTGGGATGCCTGGCTGCAGTCTGGGCTCTCTTGTCTGCAGGACTGTTGCTGTGTGGTACAGATGATGGCTAGGAGCCATCTCATCTTGTCTGCTGCTCGTGACAGTACAGTCTACGTGCCAGCTACGATTCCAGATGCATCCCTCCTGGCTGGATAAATGCAGAAATGTTGCACACCCCTTGCAAATTTGCTGAAGAGGCTTTCCGTGATGTTTGCTGGTCCTTGGAAGGAAACATGTAAATTCCCATTTCAAGCAGAAGACAAGTCCAGGGTGTGAAGGAGTTGAATAAAACAGACCATTACTTCACAGACTTCTCAGAGTTTAACTGAGGCCACAACATTTAGGAAAAGGCTTTTTTTCCCCATGTATGGAGACCAGTTGCACTATACTGAAGGGGTAACAAACCCACTTGTCATCAGCCATCATTTGACATGCACACCTCCAGCGTCAGTAAAATCACAGTGAGGTGGAAATCATTTGTGCCATTTGTCAAGAGCTGCTCTCTCCCTCGCAGTGACATCAGTATTAATTTCCTTTTTGGCAATGACTACTCGTAGGCTCATGGAGTAAAGTCATGGCTATTCATCATTTCTGTCACCAGACCTCCCAGGAGGTCCAGACAGTACCAGAGGCCTCCCATTAGGCACTGTACCAAGGTTGAGCAGAATGACATGCCTGTCCCCAAAACCTTGCATGCTTAGTGTGTGGTGAAGATCAGCATGTGAATATAGGTGGTCTGGTGGGCTGGAGGGAATCAAAAGGCTGCAATCAGTTCAGCAGTGTAACCTTTATGAAGTGGGCTGCAGGTCTCACACAGAAAAAAAGGAAGCTTTGAAGGGAGATAAAGTTGCTGCTCTGCAGATGTGTGTTCATACCAGAAGTCTCTTAATGAACTTTCATCTTTTGCCTCAAAAACATGTGGTTTTAATGCATGGAGGTGGTGCTTGGTTATGGGATCCCTATTGTAGAATTCTTAATAAGTCAAAAGTCCACTGAGGTTTCTGCACATGAAGCCCTCAGGATATCAATGCCAAACTTTGCTGATTCACCAAGAGGACACAAGGCAAAAAGCTGCCGACACACAAGCATGCAGGTCACAGATTTTCACACTGTGTTGATCCCTGTGTTTTCACGTGGATTTTTGTTGCGTGTTGTTCATAGTTATGTTGAAGAGGAGGTAGTTCAACTGCAACATCTGCAAAATCTTTATATCCCTCTTTTCCCTCCTGTATTTCATGCACAGGACTGTGAAATAGCAGCATGTCCTCCGCATCCAAATAGTCCCGAAGCGAAGAGATCCACATCAGGCATTCACAGGACACAGTGGAGATTTGGATCCTGGACACCGGTAAGCACGTGTTGTAAGACTTTCCAGATGATTTTACAATAGACAATGTGATATTTTTTAAGTGCATTTGACCAACTTTTCATTCTAAAGCCCTTGTAGTATCTGTCAGGAAACTTTCTAGTGGAGTGCTTGTTGCTCTTCCCTAGTGCTCCGCGACGTGCGGGAAGGGGACCCGGATGAGATACGTCAGCTGCCGGGATGACCAGGGCTCGGTGGCCGACGAGTCAGCCTGTTTCCACCTCCCAAAGCCATCAGCCACAGAAATGTGCACCGTGACACCGTGCGGGCAGTGGAAGGCCTTGGAGTGGAGCTCTGTAAGCATCACGCTGTCTCTTCCAGGAGAGCCTTAGAGACCTCACTGCTGGAAATGCGTTTCGTTAATCTGTCGTGCTTGCCCTTTTGTAACTGGGGACGTGAAGGTGTTCTGCTGTTCGTTGTTAGCAGTAGCTGTCTGTCTGATTTTCAAAGCTGGAAATGTGACATGTCTCCTTTTCCCACTGTAATGCAGTGCTCGGTGACTTGTGGTCAAGGTAAGGCAACGCGACAAGTGGTCTGCATCAATTACAGTGACCAGCTGGTGGATAGGAGTGAGTGTGATCCAGAGGACCTCCCTGCCACCGAGCAAGACTGCTCCATGTCTCCTTGTCATCCAAACAGCCATGACTACGGCAGGCCCATCCACCCTTTCCTCTATCCGGATCATCGCCTGAAACTGCACCCTGGAGGCAGCCCGAACCGAAACCGTGCTCATATACCAGGAGGCAATCAGTGGAGGATTGGCCCCTGGGGTGCTGTAAGTGCCCTGATTTTCTTATTGCTGTTCTCCTTCCTTTTTTTTTTTTTTTTCCCCTGGGCTAATCCAGGCATTTCTTAAAGTCACCATGCGGGGAAAAGAGGGATCCTCCTCCCTGCTATCGCTGCTCACACAAGCAAGTGTTGCAGTAGGGTGCAGGCATCACTTCTCAGCCTCTCACTCCTCCTGTCTCCGAGGCTCTCCAGGCAGAAAGCTGACAACATCATTTTCCATGAGGTAAAGGCCAACCTCTGCTTCTTGGCCATCTCATGGGACATTCACAGCTGTGCAGAGCTGTTGCCAAAGCACAGCAGACCCTTAATGCCAGCTCCTCTCGGCCCAACCAGTTTGCAGTGCTTTATCATGGAAGTTCCTAAAGGGAATTAAGCACAAATGGGATGTCAAACACTGCATTAAAGTCAGTGGGGATTACTCACCTGCTTAAAACTAGGCTCGTGTTTATTTTCTTTGCTTAGTCAGCACTAAGTCATTGCACTGCTATTAGTGCTAGCTGGGATTGGAAGTTAATAATGCCTCTTAGCTGTGTTAAACGTCTAGCGGTGCATTCCCACGGTGCAAAGCACTGGGAAGGAACTGGGAATGCAAAATTATTCCTGGACTCACTTGTGTCTTCCAGTGCTCTAGCACGTGTGCAGGAGGGTTCCAGCGGCGGGTGGTGGTGTGCCAGGATGAGAACGGGTACACCGCGAGTAACTGCGACGAGAAAAGCAAACCCGTGGAGCAGAGATCGTGTGAATCTGGCCCCTGTCCTCAGTGGGCCTATGGCAACTGGGGGGAGGTGAGTGCACCGTTCCTCCCGGGCTCCCTGCGCCGGGGAAGGCGCTCAGTAGCGGGTGGCTGAAAAATGGGAGAAGAAGGGGACATTGCGGTGACGTTTATTAGAAAGATTGGAGCATGAGAGGCAGCCCCTGATAAATGAGTGAGCCCTAGCGACTGCTTGCTGGTGTTTCCCTTTCCATTTGTCATGGGAAAATTTTCTCCCCAGGCTAAAGCGAGTTCTACAAAAAATGGGATTTGGGTTTTTTTCCTAAAGAGAAGTCTAGTTTAACTGAAGGCCTTTTTTGTTTAAAAAAAAAAAAAAAACCAACACTGCTCCCTTCTGAAAAGTCATCTGAGAGGAAAAACTAGAGACTTTATCCCCCAGGATCACATTGGCTGTGGCAGTATCACTGCAGAGCAGCACGAACAGCTTTGGGAAGAGAGAAGCTGAAGCAGCTGATGCCCCATCTGAGGCTCATGCAGCGTTTGGGGGAGATTTGGCCAGAGAGGGTTGGCTGGGAACAGAAACCACCGCCGGGTCTCGAGAGGTGCCGGTGCTCTGAGCGACCTGTTGGCAGTGGTGTTGCTGCCCAGACGGTGATTTGTTCTGTCCTCTACTGACTTCCAGTGCACGAAGCCATGCGGGGCAGGGACAAGAACACGGCTGGTGGTGTGCCAGCGCCCCAACGGAGAAAGGTTTACGGATCTGAGCTGTGAAATCCTGGACAAGCCACCCGACAGAGAGCAGTGCAATGTGCAGGACTGTCCTAGAGATGCTGCCTGGAGCGCTGGTCCTTGGAGCTCGGTACGACCATAAACTCTTTCTCTTTGTGAACCCTTTTGTGGATATCCCGTAACAACAGATTTAATTTGCTTCAAACCAAGGTGCTAATGCTTCGTGTCTTAAAACTGCACTTAAAGAGGATTATTGACAATGTATTCAGAGTAACACCTGTTCAGGAAGGGCTTACATTAGGGGAGCTTTAGACCTTTAATTTAAAAGGCACTTTCTGCTAAGTAGCTGCCTTTGTCTGTTTTATTACACTGTGTGAGCGCTGTGCGTTATGAGTCTTGGTTCTGACCAAGTTCTTTGCATATGGATTTAAACCTGGCATTTAAGCAGTACGTTTCCACTGAAGTTATATTGTTCTGGTATTTAATGGTAATACTGCACTGTGCACCTCCTGGTTTACCAGTCACGTGGTCTCTGCCAAAAGCAAGATGACAGGGGAAAATGAGTAGGAAATTGCATCGATTCCCAAGCATGTACAAGTGTGTACAGATGTGTGTGCACGTCCCTACCTGCCTCCACACACAACTATGTAGAAACACCTGTGAATTTATACCCGTGCTCTGTTTCTGTTCCTGTGTATGTGTAATAGAGCGTGAGGTACTGTGCAAAGGCACCTGTAAGCTCTTCTCATGCATCTCTCTGGTTCAGGAGAGTTATCGTGTGGTCTGTTAAGTCAGCAAAGGATCAGCAAGGTGGTGGAAGGCTTAAAACCCTGGGAGTTTTCTAATAAGAAAATGGGGTTTGAAAGACATAGAGGTGTCTTACACTGCTCCTGTACCACTGAAGGAGTGTGCTACAGAGATGCTCTTGCAAGGACAGAGCAGCCTTGAACCCTGCAGGGCTGGGATCCTATTTTGAGTCCCAGACTTTAAAACTCTCCCTGCCCAGAGCAGCACCTTCTGCTGGGCACAAAGCAAGTGCTGCCTCAGGCACTTCAGGCATGCTGGAAACCACCGACCTGCCGATTTTGGAGTGGCCTTCAAACAAATGTTGACCTTTATTGTGTATTTTGTTATAATAGCATTTGAAGTAGATTTAAAAAAAAAAAAAAAATTGATCTGACTCAAAAGCACTTTATAGGAAAAGAAAAAAAAAAGAGGCTTATTCTTAATGTATTGGATATCCTTTATTGTCACGATTTGAAAAGTTGTTTTGCTAAAACATAACTGCACCCTTGTTTCTGAGGGTGCTTTCAGTAATGCAAATGCCTTCAGTAACACTCCTCGATGTTTGGATCATACCTCAGCGAGTCACACAGTGGCCATGACACTGCTGACCTGGTGCTCATACGGTGCTTCACAAGTACAAGGGACAGTGACATGAAATATTTCATTTGAGGTGCTAACGTGTCACTTGTACGCTGATAGAGCTGGTGCTAAGGATGATCTAGCCACACATCCCGTGGCTTCCCCATGGGATTACCAGCAGGGAGTTGCTGCCAACCCTTGTTACCTGTGCTGGACCATTTGCAAGAACCAAAGGTGTGGACGTGGTTGTGTTGGGTTTTGGTGTCGCTTCGCAGCTGTTCAGGAGCAGGCTCCAGGGCTGCATCTGCTCCTCCCTGCTGGAAAGGCAGGGTGCAGTCCTGTATTTTGGTTTGGGGTTGTTATTTTTCACCCAGGAAAAAATTCCTTTGACTCTACTAAGTCGTATTAACCTTGGTGGGTTGTCTTTGCTCAGTCTGCTGGGAGCGGGTGGGGTGTTGGGAGAGGCAGAGGGCAGGGGCATCTTATCCTGCCTGTGGCATCTCCTCCCGGCTGCCCACGGGGCTCGCAGCCCCCTGCCCTCCTGCAGGCAAAGGGGCTGCAGAGCTGACCCCAGGCCTTGACACCAAGTGACTTGATTTTTCAGTATAATTACCAAGGTGTCCCTTGGCTCTGACACAGTGGACCCCAGAGCTGTTTGAAGACTGAATTTTATCTATGGGGTCAAAAGGACTTTGTGTCCCTCCTGCAAAATACTCCACATGTATGTCTACCTCGTGCTACTACTGTAGGTAGTAACATCCAAATTTGCTTTCTTTAGTGTGGTGTCACCTGGATTTGCTTTAGCTCTGTCATGGGTTGCAAACATCATTCTGTAGCTGTACATACTTCATCTGTTGGGATGGAGTGTCACTACCATATTTTTTTGGTCACTTTTGAAACAAGAGTATAGTATTAGCTGAAACTTTTCAGCGGTATGGATTTATGTATTTATGTAAAAGTGTATTTATTTTTCCAATATTGTTATTTAATTTTATATAAATATTGCATACATTTACAATGTTTAATGTTAATGTCAAACAGTGAAAATTAAAGACAAGTAGAATGTAATCATAAATGAATTTGTATTAATGATTTCTTGAGTCTTTTGCTAAATTAAGATGATATACTTAGTTCTGGTAACACGAAATTTTCTGAAATGCCACTGCCATGTTTCATCTTTTGACTTCCTTCTCCTTTACTTGCTTTGTTCTCCAACAGACTGTCATTCTCAATAATTAAACACAGTTAAAAGTGTATGAGTTATGAAGTTTGGATAACTAATTTCTTGCAAGCATCTGATTGGCTTACCTTCACTCAAGTTTCAGTGAAATGAGTACTACAAAGTACATAGAGAGTCTGAGGAATCCAACCCTCAGGCAAAATTCCATTGGGATTTTATACAGTAAGAAAGTGATTTTATCTGGTTGGTTAAACCCAGGTTTTAAAGAGATAATTAAATGAATAAATGGATTCTGTATGTAAATGATAATTTTATAGCAGGAGACTGGTGAGATGCCTTGTCATTATAATGTGTGTTCCAGGAGGACTAAGAGGAGGTGACACTTTTATTTCCTTGCTTATTTAAGAACATGTATTTAAACACTGCAGAATTGTACACCATGTGATAGACCTGACCTTTTTATTAAAATAATAATTTAGAAAACACACAGAGAGTGACACCAGCATGCAGAGAGTGTTTTTTCTCCTCTGAATGACTTATGGTGTGAATGCAGATCTCCATACCTGCTCCCAAATAGAGAGGATATCTCACCATGTTCCCCACAACGAGGGAGATGGTCACAGAAAGCATTACCCCTCACTTCACTTAAAACCCAAGGCTGAACCCACTTCTCTTGGAGCAGTTCTGCTCCTTGCAATAACCTCTGTGAAGTATTGTACCGTAATATCCAGCTGTGTCCTGATACAATTTATGAATAATGCTGAAATAACTTGTTGTGGGCTTCCCATTCTTTCCAAGTTAGGGAATGGGCACAGATAAGGTAAAATTACATCTCACAGCACGCTGTCCTGGTTCAGCTGGGTGAGTTATCAGGGCTTCACTGCATTAGGACAGGAATCATTTGACTTTGACCTGTGGAAAATAGGTGGGTGGGGGTTTGGATTTTTAGTTGTTTGGTTTAGTTTTTTTGAAAGTATTATAATTTTTAAAGTATTCTAGGTACTTAGCACTGCGGGTATCAAAAGTTCCAGCTGCTAATGCAGTGTTTGTGTAGCTCTTGGTGCCCACAAAACGGTGGTGTGTGCTTCCCAGCTCTTCTGAACAGGCAGAAGTGCTCGTACCTTAGTCTTTGAGGGCCATTTGGTCTAACAATAAAAAATTTGAAGCTTAGAATAAATTATTTAGAATATTAGCTGGCTAAGCTCCGAACTGTTCTTGTCAATGTGAATTCAGGTTTGGGTTAGGCAAACTTTGCCATGGAAGCTGGTGGCATTGATGGCTTTACAGGGCACTTTGGGTGCACTCAGGGACATTGGTGGCAGTGAAGGGGCTCCAGGCTTGGTGGGAAGAGGGAGGACTGCCTGGCCAGTAGCTGTGTCAGGGAGCTGGCACTCAGGAATTTTAATCTTAAAATTTGTGTCGGTGGAAAGTTCAGGTTATTTGTATTTAATTCTGTTGAAGATGCAACAGTTTGTTTACAAAAGGCCTTCCCCATGAAGCTGGCTGAAAACGGGCTGTTCAGCAGCAATATTCTCCATGTTGTTGTTCTGATAATATTCTTAGCAGGCAGGATGTCAGCTCTTGCTAAGGCAGAAGTGATAACCAGGGGCAGATTTGGTTGCAAGTGTATATAACTCTGCTGTTCTCTTCCTCTCTTCTGCAGAAAATGAATTTGCTGTGACAGGAGCATTACTGAGCTGCTCTGATTCTTTACACATGTTTTGCAATAACAAAGCCATCCTTGAAAATGAAGTGATAGGCACGCCGAGCTCTCCAGTCACTCAGTGATTCACATTGCTTTTCCTGTCTTTCATTCATATGATGACAGTTTAGACTCTGGGACTGTGACAGCAAGTCTGTATTTCTCTGTAGTGCCAGGTATTATCAGAAAACTAATAAAAACAACTCTCCTCCAAGAGCTTGTGAGGAAGGACAAATGTTGCTGCAGCAGAGGAAGGCTGCATGTGTGGTCCCAGCACCTATAACTCAGGTAGGGGGATGCACTGCTTGCCTGGCTTGCCTTTAAAAAAAAACAGGTAGAAATAGGTGCCTTAGTGAAGATTTAGTAAAGCTGATCCAGATCAAAAGGAGAACTTGGTAGCCTGTGGATATCTCCAGCCATCTGTCTGAAGCTGTTTACTGCACGCTCAGGCTGGCCCACCAAGGCTGCTGTCCCTCTTGGGTTCCTGGCTGTCTCCCCTTCAGGGTCAGTCAGACCGACTGACTCCAGGGGCTGCCGCTTTGGTGTGCTGATGAAAGGCAAGAGGTTGTCTGCTTTGGTTCCTCAGTCAGAAGAAGGCCTCTGACAGTGCAGACCTCTTTGCTTTTGTTTAAAAAAGCAAACCAGACCCCTTTCAGCCTTTTCCTGTTCTCCCTGCTGTGTGTCACCCAACTGGAGAATCCCACCGCCAGTGCCCGGCTTCAGCCACCCTCCAGAACTGCATGTCCCTGGGTGACAGCTGGGGTGGGCAGAGCTGTGCCAGCCATCTTACCATCCACCTATTTGCTGCCTTATGCCCTTCTCTGAGCTTGTCTCAGAGGGTAAATGCAGTTGGGGTTTTTGTTTGAAGAGTTTCAGCCTGTTG